GGCGCCGCACCTGCATAGCCATGCATGCGTGCATATGCGTGCTCAGTCGGCCCACTGCCGCTCGAGGTTGGAATCGCCGGTGGCATCCAGGTTCTAGAGCCTGCGAATGCCAACATGGTCACCGAGGTCAGCAAATTGAGGGATGGAAATGCGTGGGGTGGGTTTCTGCGAGCTCCCCCATATGCTCTCTGTATAGAGTCGTTCTTCAACCGGCGGCACAACTTAGCATCATCTTGGCAATCAAACCTCGCACCAAGAGCAACTCCGACAGGACATCATTAAAAGATATGGTGGTCCGACAGCTCCATCCACACCTTGGCCGCAGGAGCAAAGGGATCTAAAGGCTTGGGGGGAGCTTTTCACTGGGGGCTTCAGCGTGTTGGGACTGGGTCTTTCAAAAAGAGTGCCCGCTTTCTCAGTCGGTTTCCTGACGTGGAGAACGGAGCACCAAGAGTCATTCCACTTGGTCCTAAGGCTCGAGTCCCCCCGCCCCGCCTCCACTCTCTCGAAGGATGCAGACGAGCAGAATGACGATGACAAGTTCCTGAGGCTAGAGAAGCTGATCATCCGGGCCACAAGGAAGAAGGACAAGGCCAGCTTCCGTACTTTCGGTGCAGGGGTTATAGATTTTGAGTCTAACATTCACCAGGGTCTCCTGTACGACCAGTTTACCCCATCCTCCACGGATCTCCATAGATCCTGCTGAGGATCCAGGAGTTCCAACCCCCAGAAGCTTTGAGGGATCGAGTTTTCCCAAGTTTGTGGTGCGAAGAAGAGGTTCACCCCCTTGTGACTGGCATGTCTCCTTCCTGTAGATATGCGAGGCGATACATGAGGCGGGATGGTGGGATGTAAGCAGCTCGCCATGGCCATTGCGGTCATGGACCTTCAGCCAAATGTGTATTTCGGGCATTTTTTGTCTTCTTGTTTGTGGAGCTTCTGAATGCACGGGCGAGTTAATGTCGGGATACCGCAGGAAATGTGTCGAACTTCAACCCCGGTGGGATCCTTTCAGGAACCTGAAGGGAGGGGGGAACACCTGAGTTTCGGAGGGTTGCCCGGGCCCGGATCCCTGCAGCCAGCGTGCTCCTCGCCCGCTCATGCAATACTGGCTTTCACGCTGGCTCCAGGTGAGCTGTGTGAAGTTGTAGATTGTTGAGAGAACTTAGGGATACTTGGGAATGATTTTAATTTAAGAAACAGAATATTTTGCTAGGGTTCCAAGTTCAGCTGAGAGAAGGCATGGTTTCACAAGCTGGCAGCGAATGCAGTGCTACGGGAAGGGAGGAGCAGCTGGAGGTGACGGTTGAAGAATTTGCCAACTGTCGCCCAGGCTATCAATGTTGGTCGCATGAGGCGGGTCCAAAAAACGCCAGCCGCCTGCAGCTCATCGTTCTCCCGAAGGGAGATGAAAACGACGGCGAGTTCCTGCGCGCCCGAGTTGTCCTGTGCCCTCCTCACAAACCCCATGGAGACGTGATGCTGGAAGTCACGGTCGTCAACGAGGTACCCGCAGCATGCCTGACACTTTCCTCACGGTTGGTTCTCGCACCCCAAAAGCAGCGATTGGCCCGCCTTTTTCCTGTCAAACTTCTCAAAGTTACGGACATCCAGCCAGGATCAGGCTGGCTGGACGAGCATGGCCACATGCACCTGCGTGCAAGGGCTGTCTTTCCTCCGGTGATTGACCGACCTCGGCCTGCATTCCGTGAAGAACCGGACTTCACGCAGGAGTTGACGCGAGTGAGCTTTCGATTGTCTGATGGACAACACATGTTCTTCGACAAGCGCTTGCTGATAACACGTTCGGAGTACTTCAGGAATATGTTGGCAGAGGACCGGTACAAGGAAGGTGCTGCCAACCTGATCGATTTGAGCGGCAATCCCCAAGCTACGCAACAGAGCCTTACAGCGCTTCTCCGATTTCTTGTAGGAGGAGGGTTTTCGTCATATGGAAACAAGCACCTTGCCTTTTCGGTCCGTCGACTTGCAGATCAGTATCAGTTGGAGGAGCTTGTGCAGGCAGTTGACCGGGACTTGGGGAGCCTGCTTTCAGAAGACAACGTCTTTGATTTCCTCGCGCAAACGTTAGGCAGCGGAGGTTCTTTGGAGTCCTCCTGCTTAGGAATGCTTGAAGGCAACGTTCGACTGTTGGAGGCTCACAGGCCATTCATGAAGCGCATCATGGACGAGCATCCAGCCCTAGCTGAGAAGATCCTGGATCTCCTCCTCGACTCTGCAAAGCGCGGTCAGAAGCGACCTCGCGGAGCGGTGTGAGGTCTCAATCTGAACAGCATGCACCGCGGGCCAAAAGAAGGTCTTTAGCAATGGTCGCCCGTCAGATTCGGACTTGATCGCGCCTGATGCCTGATTGGTAACTGTATACGTAGTAACATTTGCAGACATATGACGTACCTGTATGCCTTTGGGGGGCCTGAACTCCTTATCGTCCTGAGCACGGCGGGGCCATGCAGGGTCGGGCCTCACGACACAGATAGACTCGTAGCAACTCTCTAGGAACTCCTAGAAACCAGCTTTGGACTCTCAGAAACCAGCTTTGGACCCCTGCAAAAGACCGCATCTGAATCCAGAAGTTTCATTGGGGTCGCCCAAGCTCTGCGAGTGCTTCTAAGGCCCGAACCCGCGACCCCCCCTCCCCCCCCCCCGATCGCAAAGACAGCCTGAAAAAAATCACAGGGCTCCAAGGGCAAGAAGACGCCGAGCGCCCTGGACGCCTCTGACTTGGGCTCTGATCAGGCGGGGCTTTCGACTTTGGGGGGTTGGGGTGGGGTTAAGGCTGCACAGCCGCACAGCATGAGTCTTTGTTTGTTGTTTTTGGTTTGGGGGAAGGTGGGCGGGCTAGGGCTTCTCGGGCTTAGTGTCATGAGAGTTGGGAGCTCACGCAAGCTCTTCCTTTTCCAGCTTGTGCTCGGATGCTGGGCTAGATCTTGGGCTAGTAGAGAGCGCTGGGCAGGACATGCTTCAAAAAAGGCTGGCTGTGTTTCTAGGTATAGTTCCAGGCCCCTTGAGGGCCTCTTGCGCCTTAATCGGAGATGGCGATCATTGCAGGAAAGCTCTGTCACCGAGAACAAGTGGCCATACCAGGCAGCTATAACAGCATATAACAGCCTGAAACCGGGACCTCCTGTAACTGAGAACTGGGGCAAGCTGTAGCTGAAACCAGAGGGACAGGCTGTAACAGAGCAGGTTCAGTAGGTTCTCGTATAAACCAAGCCACACCAAGCTCAGAATAGACACGCCTTGCATTGCTGAAGCGTGCAGAAGGTCGTGCAGGGTGCGTCGGGGTGCTTGGGGCAGGTTTCTGCGATCCAGGGGTCTGGCCTTTGCTACGCATTCCGTGCCTCTTTGCCTGCTACTTCGGTTAAGATCCTGACCGGTTTCCATTACAAAGCAAGGCCCTACCGGAGCACTTGCTGCTAAGTTTACAAAGATGTTTCAGCGTCCTGTCCACTGAGAATGATGACATAATGCTGGTCGAGCACAGCCAAGGATTTTTTGCTTTTCACGTTTTTTTTTCTCTCGTTTGGTTCTGAGCCTCTGCCTCGCACTCTCAGCCTGCAGGCGTCCGACTTTGGCCGGGAGACTTCGCAGTGATGTCATGCCTACGCTGTTGACATTCTCGCATGTTTTGCCGGCAGGCAATCGGAAGGGTTTGCCACAACCGTGCCCCTTTGCGACAACACATGAAACGATATGAAACGTTCCTTCAGCCCTAGATCGACCAAAACCACGTGAAAGGCTGCAACGATTTTTGCATGAACCCTTAAGACTACCCAAAGGCCTCCGCCTTCGTACATTGGTTTATGCAGCTGGGGCGAGAAGCACGTGCTTCGACGAAATTAGCTTCGGCTGAGTGCCTGGAAACGCGGGCGATGCATGATTGGCAACAAGGGTGCCTTGACAGTACCCGTGTAGTGGGCGAAGCCCGTCTTTCGACCTGCTCTCCCAAGCTGAACGGACAATGAAGCGCCGTCAGTGCGTTGTAGACATGTGTAGACCTTCTCTTTAGTGGTATTCAACTGCCTACTGGTGGCTACTGGAAGCTGCGTGCTGCCCTGCTGCACCCTAGCAATTATAACAAAGAGAGTTTCGGCAGAGAGGCCGCACTCCGAACGGACCACGCGGCTCATGAGAGCAGCACACATTTTGGATGTTCCTTTCGAGCATTGCGGCCCGACCCTCATCCTGGCTCAAGCCCCGAGCCCTCATCACACTCAAACCTTGAACCTCCTTGAACCTCCTCCAGCGGCTCTAGCTTGCAAAGTCAAACCTTCGTGAGTTCTGTCAGCCCGGAGACGTTGCATCTCGACGTGATCAATCCCAAGCCACTGTGCAACTCGACTCCCAGAGGCTCGTGAAAACTTTCTGCAGGCCCAGAGAACTGCAAGCCCAAAATCATAGCCTTCACAACCTCTTCGAGGCGGCCGGTGTGCTCGCTCCATCCCAGTTCCCGGGTGTCACTATGCAGAAGGTGAATCTGCCAGCTTCGGGAGCCCAGAAGCTTTGCCGCTGCCGCAACCATAAAAGTCCTAAAGCCCTGTGCAAGATGACAAGCACCGAGAAGCCCCCAGCGTCAAAGACCTCAATGGCCCAAGCCTCGACCATACGGTTTCACCCACGGCGTCGCGACTTGCGTGATCTGCCGAGCAAACAGTTGTTTCGTGTCGAGTACCACCTCGTAAGAAGTTTTGTGGTGACACTCACGGGACTACCCTAAACTGAAGATTCATAAGAAGTTAAGGCTTCGGATGTTTATGCTGTCTAGGGCTCAAAGAAACTTTTTGGGGTTCAGGGTTGGGGATTTGGTGTACATCGTACCTGTCGGATTACCATGTACACCTGGCTGGTGACTTGCCTCGTGTTGCACCAGGTATTTCGCATGCTTATGCACCGACATGTTGCTGCGTGCACTTGTTTGGTCGAGAATGTATTCGGAAACAATGTACGTAGACAGGCAGCGAACCTGCACGCGGTTGCAGGTGACTTCTACAGCTACATGGGGAGCTCCACGACACCAGACTGCTTCCAGCAGAACAAGTGGTCCCTGCCCTAACCCGGCCTAGCCCAGGGCATGGTTAGATGTTCAGGTGACACTCCGCGCCGTGTCATGGCCACTTAGAGCTGGTTAAAGCAGATGGCATCGGCTTCTAGAACATGATTTCAAACAACAGCTGGAGTTCAGCTGGAGTTGGAGGATCTCCTGCCATGTAGAAGAAGGAACTCATAGAAGCGAAGAGTCGCAGATGCAGAAGCAGGACAAACAAGAGTACTGACAGTTTAGATCTCATCAGGAAATGCCCTCACAACTGGTGTATACTAGTGTCGGGAGTTCGGCAATCTATACACCAGAACTCGGCTTTCTAGCAACTGAAAACTATTGCAGTTCTATCCCTCGTGCAGTTAAGGGCGGCACCAGCATGCTCATGTATCAACAATGGTAGCAAACCTATTTCGTAAATTCGAGCCAAGCCCTTCCACGCCCCCTTCCGATACTGCAAGGTTCGTGTTCGACCACGCCCGGTCCCCGGGTTTGTGCGGATTCGCCAAGCCCTGGAAAGTCGCAAGGGTTACCTGGGAATCTGTTGGAAATCCAGAAGCTGTTCTCAAGGTTTTCAGCATGTCCATGGAGCAGTGGGCGACCTTCAAGGCCATGTTCCCGAGCCCGGGCCGCCTGTCGGGCAATGTGTTGCTGGACCTTTGGGGCTGCAATTTCTCAACACCCCATGATGCGAACTCTCTAGTCCGTCACCTTTGCCGAAGGCTCCAGGCTTGCGACTCTCAAATCCCAGACAGGGGCTACTATTGCACGTGGTGCTTCTGAACGCCCCCCCCCCCCCTCCCCTCACTTAGAGACCGAGGCAACAACCGGCCCATCCAGCCGATCCGAAGCCACCACATCGAAAAGAACTCATTCCAGGCGTGCGCGGGCTAGCTTTCTGAGTCCGGCCTCTACTCAGTCGCTGGGTTCCCCGCTGAGCAGTTTCATAGCCGAGCGGCAGCAAGTTGGGAAGTGTGGTAGATGTTTTCTTGGGATTGTTGTAGAAGAGGTGTGTCACATAGGCCACTTACCCCAACACCCAGTAGGATTGACGCCTAAACCCGCGCTGGCCCAACCCTAAAGTGTGGACCTCCTTTCGCTCATCTGGGCGCTGTTGCTACGAGATCCGGGTGGCAAAAGGGGAAAGCCAAAAGCTTGGGATCCATGATTCATACCTTCCAAGTACCTCTTGTCTGGCAAAGTGCATTGTCATGTATCTTTCTCCCCGAGGATAACACACCGCAGTTCGTGCATAGCTATGCGGGTGGCCAAAACATGCTGCGCCCAAGACAGCGAAGACAGATTTGCAAACAAGGGTTTTTGTCAAAAAAAGGTTTCTTCTCGCTTTTACGGCTCGCCGGTTCTGACAGTGTTCCAGTGTTCGGGCAGCAATTGCACTCACTGTTACGGCTTTCTCAGGCATGCACTGCGGCACTGTTTCGTCTCTTGCCCTGTTATGTTGACGCGGGGCTTGTTCTACATCACTGTCCCTTGATGAACAGGGCTGACTGTAAGAGTTCCCTTTGTGTAAGACGACGTGCATGTTGTTCGAAGTGTGTCGGATAGCGCCTGAAGTTCAAGCAACCGCGGCGAGTCTGATTGATGGGAGGACGGTGAGCCGAAGCAGTTCGACTTCTTCCTAGGCCTTGGTTTTTGCTTGTTGCATTGTTGGGCTGAGAGGATTTGCTAAAAACAGGCATCCCAAGCAGCAAAGCTTAACTTAAGGCTTAAGGATAGTGAGGGCCGGCCCGGCCTGTCAGAAAATGAGTTCCGCAGCGAGTAGTTCTCTGAGACGCAGAGAGAGGTGTAGGTGTAGGTGTAGGTGTAGGTGTAGGTGTAGGTGTAGGTGTAGGTGTAGGTGTAGGTGTAGGTGTGTGTGTGTGTGTGTGTGTGTGTGTGTGTGTGTGTGTGTGTGTGTGTGTGTGTGTGGGTGTGCGGGTGCGTGTGCGCGTGCGCGTGCGCGCGCGTGCGCGCTGTGCGTGCGCGTGGGGTGCGTGTGCGCGTGCGCGCGCGTGCGTGTGCGGGTGCGCGTGCGCGTGCGCGTGCGCGTGCGCGTGCGCGTGCGCGTGCGCGTGCGCGTGCGCGTGCGCACGCGTGTGCGTGTGCGCGTGCGTGTGCGTGTCTCTCTCTTTCTCTCTGTGAGGGGCACTTTGCTAGGACTGTCAACAGTTTTGGAGCTGGGAAGGCTGTCATGGTGTGTGTGTGTGTGTGTGTGTGTGTGTGTGCGATAAGGCTTGAAAGCTTCACTTCGCGTGGAGTTTGTGCGCCCTCTTCTCAATCCCAATCCCCAGATTGGACCCGTGCTTGCAATACTCAGACATGCGAACCACTCCGCATAGGGCTTTCTGGCGCATTCGAGTCAAGGCATCAGGTTCCAGAAAATTGCTGGAGGGGGCAAGCACAAGCCCTCCCGCCAGCAGAACTCAATGCCACGCCATGCTGGTCTGCGTTATCGTATGTTTCTGACAGGGGCCCGTGAGCCTCTCTGTAGGAGTACTTACTTCCAAATGCAGGGACCTGACTCGACCTGGCCTTGATCCAAGAGCCCGAACCTTGATCCTTCTCCTCTGCAGGATCTCTTAATTTTTGAGTTCGTAGCTGGCTTCCGTTTGAGGCCCTGGTGGTTTACGAAAATAGGGGGGGCCCCAAAGCAGACCCCCAAAGAGTAGGAAACCCTAATAAGAAGGACCCCAGTAAGGTACCAGATTTGTCGGAAAACCACCTTCGTAGGAGCTCAAAATCAAAACAGGGCTGAAAAATTAAAAAAACGACCGGTCCCTGCAGAGCCCGAACCCCTCAGAAGCCTCGAGAGGACGGCATGAAGCACGAGATCGGTTCCTCCCCGGGGAGGCAGGTCTGCTTTAAGAGGGTTCGGGGAGTGGTGACATTTTTGGGGTTCGCCACCCCCCCCCCCCTCTTTAGCAGAAAGAAAGCACGTGGGAGTGGGTTAGAGCGGCTTCAGGGAAGATTAGCCTGCTTTTTTTTTCCGCCTTTTTGACATCCTTGAGATACTTGTCTTCTTAATCATTCTTTACCCCAAAGCTGCCCGGACTCATCCATCCTGAAGGTCCCCAAACCCCCCCAAACTCCTAAGAGAAGTCTGCCGACTGTGCAGGCTTGGTGCCGCGAAGGTTAGGTTGTTCTACTCGCCCTTCACTCCCAAAGTTTCTACTGAGCAATGCCCAGCTAAAGCTTGCAAATGCCGAGACTCCCAAGCCCAGCCTCAACCCTCTCTTCATCTTCAGTTTTTCATCCTTGTCCCGATTGTCGCGACGTTGGTCTTGATGGCGGCGTGGGGCTCAGATCAGGGTAAGCGTTACAGCCTTCAAGGGACAGAGGAAGCTCAGGAACGGGGCTGTTCTCTGCGGTGCTTGGGACCTTTTGAGGTTCAGGTTGATTGGGACATGGCTTTGCTGGCATTGAGGGTGTGTTCTTGCGGCTACAGTAGCTTGAATGTGCTTCCCGAAGCTATCCGCTGCAAACCTTGGACATCTGTGCTTTGGAGGACGGGCGGCGTAGGAGATACAGAGGCAACATGAGTAAAGGGTCCTACATTGCACGGAGACAGAGGATGCGTAGACACAAAGATGAGAACTGTTTGTCCACTGTCAGTCAACTGTGGATGTGAGTTGATGCGCGATGACCTGAATGGACCTCGGTGTATGTGCGTCCAGTTGAGCTTCCGCTCAAGAGTCCGTTCGACTTCCTGTAGCCGTGCCATGTCGATGGCAGTACTCTGTCTGTCGTGGGTCCCGGGTGCTGGTAGGGGAGCCCGTAGCAAGTGATGAACAAAGGTGGGCCCCAAAGGCCATGATCATGAGAAGCAGCCCAGTTCATGGTTTTGACGTCAACAGAACGGAGAGAGCGGACGACCTGTGCTGTCGTGCGCGCAGCTGCATGAGGGGGTTAGCCATCCCCGAAAAAAAGAGCGAACGCAGGACAGAGAACGAGTCAGCCCTTGAGGTCATCATGCTCTCAATCTTTAAGCGCGACGTCGTCGGCGGGAAGAGCAACATGTCGACCCTAGCGGAGACCATTGGCAACAGCTCTTCTGCAGCAGCTTTGGGTTATAAGCTGTGTGTGTGTGTGTGTGCATGTGTGTGTGTGTGTGTGTGTGTTTGTTTTTGCGGGTGTTTGTTGGGAAGCAGAATTGCGCACCAGGTCATGAGGGCCAGTACTGTAGGGTTCTCTTGACGAAGGACAGGCTGAGGGTCCACAGAGTTCAGACCCTCACTTGCTTGTTGTTGAAAAACATGAAAACAGCTCAGTAGTCTTGAGGGTTGGCTGTCACGTCGGCGTTGGCATCATCTAGCAGAACCCTTTTCGCATGTCAGAGCGACTCTGTGCTTTGCTGCGCCCTACTGCAAGATGAGAGTCTAAGTGTGTTCTCTGGAGGCATGGGCTACAGCCAAGTGTGAGGTAGATGGTTCCAGCAGAGATCCGGTCCCCTTTGGGCATCTACAACAGTTGGCCGTGCCGAGCACGATGCTGACACGAGCAGAGCGCACCCGAGCTGCGACCCCACACAGGGTTCCACCAAGCACTGGTCCAACACTCAGGATCCGAGAGAGGTCGCAGTTGTGCGGCTCTCTTCTCCCCAAGGAGAAGAACTTCAGATATACCTAAAATACTTAAAATGCATGTTTTTCCAGCCTCCCGTGGCAGTTGGGAGATGAGAGTCCATTCCGCGTATTGTAGCATCGATTCTGGACTACATGTATCTTATGCCGGCAGGGCATGGAGCGTCAGCAACATGGCAGCCTTGCATGCACCGTGCCTTGTAGATTGCATCCTGCGCATACACACAGCCTGCGCGTTTTTCCGTTTGGCCTGCCGACGCTCGAAGTTGCTTTTATAGCAGATCCGACAAGTACTGCTGTCCGGCGTTTCATGTGCCTCACTGCCCTGATGGGTCCGCTTTACAAGCGTCTTGCCATTGAATCACGCCGCAGTGCTTGGAGATCAGTGTGAGCACAAAGTGCAAGGCGCTCCCTCGATGAGGGTGGGCTTTGGGTCGGTGATGAAGGGAGCAGGTTTTCGCAAGATTTGAAACTCTTTGTGGGGTGTAGTTAGCAAGTATCCCTCAGTCAGAAGCCGTTGCTAGCTCATGCCCCGAAGGCATGGTTTCGTCGAATCTCTAAACTCTAAGCAGCCTTGTCCCTCTCCATGAAGACTGTTAAATTCCAGCCTCTTGAAGGCAGAGGCACCTGCTCCCAACACTACCGACTTTGCTCCGTGCAAGTGTGGTAGGGTCCCGGCATCGACATCGTCACACTGAACCTCACTAAGCTCACCCAACGCAATCGGCATCCAAGTAGCCCAGACCCGGCCGAGTCATGCCAGGCATGCCTTCAAAGCCTAAGCCCTGACCCCATAGCCCTGAAAGCCAAGCAGGAATGTGTCATGTTGGGCAAGAGTAGTTTCCTTAGGGAGGGCAAATACACAGGGTACGGATTCGGGTTTCCGCTTCGCGCGTGGCCGAACTGCAAGTTCAGCATCTCAGCTATCTCAGCTATCTTCAATATGAGCCCTTAAGCCCGGATCATTGTGATGCCACAAGGACGGCCATCCTATCGCGTGCGCATGTTCTGCTTCTTTGGCATGTAGTCTCAAACTCATTTGTGTCCACCAGAGAGAACCCGTGGCAAAAGTGTACAGATCAGTCCAGATCCGTCCCCACCACGCGGTCCAGGTGCATTTCTAGTGGGCTTCAAGGCTTCTCCCTGAAACGATCACCACAAACCCCTTGCCGACACCAAGGGCAATCCTGCGCCAAGCCTTCACCTCTGCAAGCTTCTGAAGCCTTGTGAACGAATGTCCCCTCAGCAGCGCCTTGCACGCAGATTGAAGAAGACTGTCAGCTTTGCAGCGGAAGTGAGTGAGGCGCCTTGCTCGGGAAGCCGCAGTTTCCATTTGCGACAATGATATATATATATATATGTATATATATATATATATATGCGTCTGTATCTTGGGGAGAGCATCCTATATGCATGCATACATCTCTTTGCAACACGCAAGAACAAGAACCCTTGGCTCCCTGCCTTAAGTCTTAAACCACATCTCTACTCCCAAAGTTCCAAACCCAAACCCAAACAGCCAGGCCGACGACGACGACGATGGCGCGGCCCTGGAGGTCCCCAGCGCGGCGGGCGCGCCCGTACGGGATGCAACCTGGCTGGGGGCCTCAGATATCTGGCGGGGGAGGGGGGTGGGGGGAGGGGAGGAGGGATTCCCCGAGGCGTCTTTGTCTGTCTCAAGGCCGTGAATTGCAGCAGGGCATTGGCTTGCGCAGGGCTTCTCGAAGTTGAGTGTTGACATATATCAACATGCAGAAGACCGAAACTCCTCCACGGCTTGGACCAGCGGAGTGATGCATGCTTCTTTCTACAGAGGCTTGATCATGCCGACGTGTTGCTGAAATCCTAGCTGCGGTTTATCAGCACATCCCGAAGAATTTTTTGGGTCTCGGGTCGCATGTTTTGGTGTTGGCATTAAGGATGTCATAGCTGCTTGGTGCAAAGGAGTGCAGCCAAGATTGTTCTTGCACCTTACCTTCCCGCATTCCCGAATATAAGTGAGGCAGAGGCAGCCTCCCTTTTGCACACTGTTCTGCATTCATGCGTGGTTGCGAACACAGGTTTTTGCATGTTCTCAAAAAGTGATCGTGCAAGGCCTGCTAAGGTTCGCCCATCTTTGTAGCTGACTGTGAATCTCGTAAGTACTCCTGGGTTGGAGGGAGAGATTCCTGACCATGCCGAGCGCTTCAAATCCTGGATGATGCCGTGTGCTTGCCTGAAATATACCTTTCTGATGTTGGTCAGGGCTGCTTTCGGTGATTCTGCTGAAGTGTGATGGAGTGGGAGATTGAGGCAGCATCTGGAGAGGAACATCGTTCATCAAAACCCTAGATAAATCACGAGTATCCCCCGCCATCTCTTCCGCCTTGGACCTCAATCATCAACCACCTTCTTAGCCCTGAACCCCTGAACGAACGCACCCTTCACACCCTGGACTGGGTCGCAGGACTAGGGTACCAGGACAGGGGGTGGGACTAGGGTACCGGGAAGAGGAAACCAAACCCCAAAACCCGGAAGAACCCGAAAGAACCCGAAAACCAAGCTGCACTCCGTGCATTTGCTCCGAGACTTGAGCCAACATCGTTGGCATAGTTTATGGTTAAGACCTCAGTGGACGCGCTCAGCGTGTCATCCTTGCGCAGGGGCTGATGCTTCAAGTGAACATGAGTGCCTCTTTACACAAACACTCCTCCTTGCTGGGAGTTTCAAATGTCAAATCTTGATGCTCGCAGCACCCTTCAGGCACTGCTCTCTGGGCCCCCAAAAGCGCTCATGCATCAACTCTGCTGGACTATTCCTTCGGCAGAGCTTCTAAGGAAAGATTAGCACAAGTGGACCCGAACCGTTTATGCAGGACAAAGGCCACCAGTGAAGCAAAAGTAGAACTTCTTCCATTGCTCCCGTTAGCAATGCGAAGCGCGTCAAGTTCGTTCAAGAAGTCCAACCTTCTCTCTGAGAGTTTGCAGCCGAACTCGAGGGAGGGTTTTCGTGAGTAAATCTGCTACCAGGGTTGCCCCCGGCTCGTGGGTAACGCCAGCTTCGAGATCCCTAATGGAATCCCTCAACCAGCTCGCCCGAAGCGCCACGCCTCGCGTTTTCCATTTCAGGGGCTGCAGGGATTCTCTCAAAGCTAAGATGATGGCAGCTGCATTGTCGCATCGCAACATGATGGGAAGCGTCACTCCAATCAGCTGGTTCACTGTGTCTTGCATGCGTCCACCCTGACTTAAGCATTCTGACATAGCAACCGTTTCCGCTTCGGTAGCTGACCATGACGTCAGTGTTTGCTTCGTGGAAGCCCAATCAAGAATGCTAGATCCTAGCATGTAGACCATGCCAGATCTCGACCTTCCAGCTGTGGGTGCAAACGAAGCGTCACTGTAACACGTGAACTCCTGAATGTTTTTCTGCGCTTTGTAGGTCAAACAGACGTTCAATGTTCCGCGGATGTAACGCCACACATGACGAATCAACTGCAAAACCCGTTTTGGTCTATGAGTCAACTCCGACGCCAAGATCCCAACCGTACTGGCGATGTCAGGCCGTGATCTTGTACTCATCCACAAGAGCGTTCCTAGCTCTCGCTGGCACTCAAGCTTATTCTGCTCATAGGCCTCATCCTTGACTTCATCGTCGTTGAGTTCAAGCTGTGGTAGAGTTGCGCAGCCCTTAAGGTGTAGCCACTGTCGTCGATGGAGTTCCTGTAGAATCCACGCGCGCTGACTGATGATGACATCGCCCTCCATGTTGAAACTCATTTGCACCCCAAGGAAAACAAGCTCTGTTTTGCGCTCAAGCTGTCCCAAACTTCCACACTTGATTGTTCTCTCTTCACGACTAATGAACCCTTGGAGCTTCATAGCCCACTTCTGGCCGATAAACTCCAGGCATCGTGATACCATTTCAGGACACCCTACAACGAGCACGTCATCCACGTACAAAGTAAGTAATCCCGTCACTTGGCCCGATGCCACATCAATCAGTCGCCAAAGGCCCTCACAAATATCAAGCGGCTCAAGCCGCACTGCTGGCATCTCATCTCCCTCACGAGGCTCAAGAACACTCCCGTTCAAGGTTGAGTCCCGGTCTTTAGCCCATTCCTTGGGCGAGATCCGAAGTCCATACAACGCCCGCAAAGGAAGATACTTCACCCCATGAGGTACCAGCTTCAAGCGTTTCAAGATAGCCGGTGGATCCAAAAGCGGTGCTTCACCACGTCGAAGCACAGTGTTCAGGAATGCCGTTGAGATGTCCGCCGCACCTGCTATCCAAGTTGGTTCCTGAGCAAGCTTATGGTACATGGTCCGCACAATCCAGGACGGCACATTCTCGGTTGATAGCTCGTCCTTCGCGAACTCATTGTTTTGAAAATTGCCACATGCAACCAAACGTGCTTTCGCTAAAAACCCTTGCCCATCTGTATCGCAATTCGCAGAGCTGTCAGGTTCTGTAAGCGGTTTCTCGGATAGCACAAGCTTCATTGGGATGGTTCGGGGAATCTCTTCACCAGCCTCCAAGTGTAGATCCTCTCGTTCATAGCCCTGTCGGACAGGCAATAAAACGTCCTTGCTCTCTACACTGGTCAATTCCTTCTGGACTGCTTCAATCCATTTTTCAGCACGTTCACCTGTCAAGACGGAGTTAGGCACAACCTCTGCTGATCCACGACGTTGCTGTGCTTCACGCAACAAGTTTTGAAAAATCTCTTCTGCTTCTTGTTCATCTTCGTCGGTCCTTGTGATGTACTTCTCGGACTTATCGGGCGCAGAAACATCTGGAGCAGACACCGCCCGGCTAGCAACAAACTTCATGAACTTGTGTCCAAATGAGTCTTCACT